TTTAAAAATCAATATAAGTGTTTGGTTAATTAACTTTTTGTACTCTAAAATGCTAAAATTTAAAACTCTACTCAAATTTACTTTTTCAATAGCTTTTTGAGAAAAGAAATTATACCAAACAGCTATCAGCTAACAGTTAATTTACCAAACACCTTTCTACAATCAGTTAATGTTATCAACTAGTTATACCCTCTAATTAACTCAATTAGCTAACCGCTAACAGCTATCACTAACAGACATGTACCAAACAGGGCCTGAATCTCCAACCCCAAGGGCCCCTACACCCCGGTTCGACAAAGCATTTGAGAGATATAAATCACGGTGACTCAATGACTCATCAGACAGGATCAAATGTCGGTGCGCACAAGCGATCTGATTTGTCCATTTTGGACATAATCCCACACTGCCATTTAATACTATATAATACTATCATTTTAATCTATACTATATAAGGGAAGGGTTCAGGTGCGGGAATAGCTTCCCGTGCGGTTGTGCGGTTGGACGCACCTTAAATATTAAAATGGCGCACATTAAGTATTAACTTCGTACATCTTAGTTTATAACACAGACGCACCTTAAGCATACGAATCACACACCTTAAGCACACAACACACACACCTTAAGGCTTAAGCGCAAAACTCACGCACATTAAGCACAAAACTCACACATAGGGCTGTTAACGAACCGAACATAAACGAACGGAGGTTGTTCGTGTTCGTTTGTTAAGGAATTTGGAGTGTTCGTGTTCGTGTTCGTTTGTTAAGGTTTTTGAAAATCCTGTTCGTGTTTGTTTGTTAAGTGTTCGTTAGTGTTTGTTAACGTTCGCGAACGTGTTCGTTAACGTTAACGAACATGTTCGCGAATGTGTTTGTTAACGTTCGTGAACACGTTTGCAAACATGTTCGTTAACGTTAACAAACACGTTCACAAACATGTTCATTAACAAACACGTTCACGAACATATTCATTTATGTTAATGAACACTTAATAAACAAACACCTATACATGTTCATGATCACAATTCGTTCGTGAACAATAAATAATCTACGTTCACGAACAATAATCAAACAAACAACACAACTACAAAACTAATATAATATAATATAATATAATATAATATAATATAATATAATATAATATATGTTTGTGAACATGTTCGCGAACATTATTAAACGAACACAAACGAACTTGTTCACGAACATTATTAAACGAACATAAACGAGCTTGTTCACGAACATTAGTAAACGAACACAAATGAGCTTGTTCACGATCTCTTAGCAAACGAGCTTACAACTGTTCAACAAGTAGCTTGTGAGTCACACACCTTAAATTTCACAGAACTATTCACATTAAGCACTAACCCCACGCACCTTAAGCATAAACCACACGCACTTTAGCACAAACCTCACGCACCTTAAGTTTCAACAACTACTCACATTAAGCACAAACCTCACGTACATGAAGCACAAACCACACGCACCTTAAGCACAAACCACATGCACATTAAGCACAAAACTCACGCACATTAAGCCCAAACTCAAGCACCTTAAATTTACCTAGGATGCAAAAATTACCAAATTGCCACCGCGTTTTTTTTTTTTAATTTTGGTAATCTTGGACGTTGATTTAAGGAAAATCAATGGCTCATATTTAATCACACAACCGCACCTAGGGCTGCCAACCGCAACAGAACCTAATTCTACTATTTTTTTTTTGAAGGTCAACCAAACGGTTGTATTTATAGATAAACTGAAATAGAGTCATGTGGGACATCATCCCAATACATAGCCGAAGTAAAATCAAAAGCTGTGGTAGCTAATGTATGTGCTAATAAATTCTGTAATCTAGGAATAAAAAGAACTGAGCAGGAAGTAAAAGCCAACATGTTCATTCTGCAATTATCAATAGCGTAGCCAATGTATGAACGAGACTGGATATCTGGGGCTGATAGGTAACTTTGTAGTGTCTGACAATCCGTGTAAATCTGTATAGATTGTTCTCTTCTTGCTCGTAGCCATGACAAGGCTTCCTTGCATGCAAATGCCTCGGCCATTAGAGGGGAGAAGCAACTCACGAGTGGCGCACTGAAGGCCGAAATAAAGTGCCCATCGGAATCTAGGAGAACAGCTCCAACCGTGACCGATTTTGTCCCATGGTGATATCTAGCTAATGTATGTGCTAATAAATTCTACTATATAATACTATCATTTTACTCTATACATTTTACTCTATACATTTTACTCTATACTTTTTAATATACTAAGAAGTAATCCTTTTTCTTTTCCTCTTTCATCGCGTTTTAGCTTGTAAACCCAAGAATGTTAGGATTAAACACTTACGTTTTTAAACTAAATATTAAGTTGAATGTATAACAAAACAAACAGTATTTTTTTTCCAGCTGCCTAAGGGTCTTATGGGAGGATTAGATGTTACTAGTGTTCTCTCAACTAGAATTTTGTAAGAGTAAGATTTATTTAATTTAAAAAAGAAACAAAACAAAAAAAACAAAAAAAAAAAAAAACAAAACAAAAACAAAACAAAAACAAAAAAAAAAACAAAAAAAAAAAAAAAAAAAAAAAAAAACAATCAAAACAAAAACAAAAACGAACTTACATATTTATTCATGTGTTAAGACTATTTATTTGAGTTCATTTTATTTTTGGTCCTAGATTTATCATTTATAAATGACAGTCCATTTTTAATCTTTTTTTATTAGTGCATCTTCATTTAATCTTAGTATTATTGTGGCATGCAATATATATGTCTTGATACCCTTGTGCCATATATAGTCTATTGTATGTTAAGATTCTAGGTGGATTGATGCTTTGTCTCCTTACCACATGATGTCTAGAACGGATGGGATCTACTTTGGTCCTATTTGGTAAAATAGTTAAGCTTATCAGTCAATTTTGGCTTATTTGATTATTTTTAATTTTGACTTGATTAATACTTAATATAAGTGTTTGGTTAATTAGCTTTTTGTAACTCCAAAATGCTAAATTCAAAAGGCTGCTCAAAGTAACTTTTTCAATTAGCTTTTTGAGAAAGAAATTTTACCAAACAACTATCAGCTAACAGCTAATTTACCAAACACCTTTATACAATCGGCTAATGTTATCAACTAGTTATACCCTCTAATTAACCCAATCAGCTAACATCTAAAAGCTATCAACTAATGTTATCAACTAGTTATACCCTCTAATTAACCAATCAGCTAACATCTAACAGCTATCAGCTAATGTTATCAACTAATTATACCCTCTAATTAACCAATCAGCTAACATCTAACAGTTATCAGCTAACTGCCATTTACCAAACATGACCTTTGTCTCTTTCAATTTTAGATTGAATTATTATGGCAATTTATATCAGGACCAGGGTCCACATAGTATTATAGACCTTGGATTGAAACGACAATGTACAAAATTCATACCCGTAACTCGTAATGCACCGGATTTTGTAACACAAAACACACACACACACACACCCACACAAAAATCACAATACAAGACACATAGCATTATGGACCCTCAATTAAAATGACGATGTACAGAATTCATACTCGTACGGTACAGATTTTCATAACGCAAGACACAAAAGTCATAACACAAAACACATACACATGAAGCGCGGAGCACAATGCAGTGTAAACCCTGGTCCATGATATAATGATCGAATTATTATGTATTAGGCTAATAAAATTGAACCCTAAGAAATTGCAGTGATTGAGCTATTGGCATGTGAAAAGATTGCTAGGCGCTCTTCGCGTGCCCGTGTATTTTCTATTTTTCAAAAATTTGTTTATAATTTTAAAATTTTTTAAGACTTGATAATTATAAATTATTTAGTACTTTAATAGTTAATACTAAAATATTAAAATTAACCTTAAAAACATCTAGAGTTTAAAAAAATTAGGGTTATTTCATTCAAACCGATGTTGTTGAGTGAAATAACTCATTTAAAAAAGAAGGGAACAATAGCTAATCGGCAGACTAAGCGACCTAATTGGTGCCTCACCGATTATGATGATACGCTAGGCGACCGGCCAGCCAGCACTAGGTGCTGATCGATTAATCGGTGTCTGGGCGGAAATTTTGCAACAATGGCTATTGGATCAAATCCAAGTATATATTATGATCCCAACAGGCCAATTAATAAAGAAGGCAGAAGTGAAATATATATTGTGAGTTGTGAGCATAAATAATGCAGTACAGTTTTTAGTGATAAAACTGGGACCAACAACGCAATTTATATCCTACACCACGGCGTACATTGCACTATGCGCCCAGATGCAAAACGACGTCGTTTTAATTTATTTTTTTTTTGAAATTTCCCGCCCCAGTGAATGGCAGTAGGCTTTTCTTAAAAAAAAAAACCCGCTGTTCAAGAATGTACATAATGTTATACTTGAATACACATAATGTTATACATGAATACACATAATGTTATAACAAAATATACATACTCTTTTTAAAAGATAATACACATAATCTAACATAATACATAATAAACATAAACTTTTAACATAATACACATCAACTCTTAACATAATACACACAAATTTTCTGATTCGGATGTACATAATAATTGTATAAAAACAATGTACATAATTGTATAAAAAATACACATAACTGTATGAACCAATACACATAACGTTGTGAACGAATACACATAACGTTGTGAACGAATACACATAATCTCAGCAACTTCCTACCGCGCCTCCCAACACGACCCCAAAACGACGTCGTTTTGGGAGGCGCGCGGCGCACAGTGCTATGTGCGCCGTGGTGTAGGATATAACGATTGACGCACAAGTACAGTGTAGCTTTTAGGTAGACTAGTGGGAAAAAAGTAATATGCCTTTTGAATGTAGCTAGAGACAGGAGAGAACAAGTGCGTTTTGTGCTTGTGCATGCATTATTTTGCTACAAATACCCCCAACACCATACCATTGCCTCTTGCATTCAACCAACACAAAATACACATCCGCCCATTATATTTTTCATTAATTATCTCTTATTCCATTCCTTGTCTAGTGTGAGGATATGTCATCATCAACATTATGTAGTTGCGAGTTGAAGCCGAATCCTCTTGAGAAGGGTGGCATAGTCTCCATTATTGTTGGATCAGATTGTGATGAGAGTGCTCACAGATCGTCCAACAATTGGCTTTCCATCCAAAATCCAAGCACAGAAGAAGATGATGATGATGAGTTGATGAAGAGGAGGAGGCCTGGACAGGATGAGGTCTGGAAAGCAATCCAAGCACAGAAGCAGCAGGGGGATGATCACAATAATAATAAGGCGCCACCAATACGATCAACTGTTTCCTGGAGTGCAATTATCTTATCTGATCAAAAAGTTGATGTTCAAGATTCAGTGCCTTATATCCACCCTCTCCTCAAAAAGTCATCTAGCTGTTGTTTGAGCAAACAGAGCCTTCAGATTTGCACGGAGAGTCTTGGCTCAGAGACCGGCTCCGATTGTCTCACCTCCCAAACCCGCGATTCTGATCACGTTCAAGATCAAGTTCAGGACAACAAACAAGCTCATGAAGAAGAAGAAGAAGATATTTTCAACGATGTAAAGATAAAAAATTATAGCAAGAAATCAGCATCATCTTTCCCTCCTCCACTCCCTTCTCTGGCCAACTCAAGCGTTCAGCTGCGCTCTCACCGCCAAGGCAAAGGCGAAGCCGAAGGCAGCAGGTTGATTCTCGAAGCAGTTTCCGTCCCTCAGCGCAACTACTTCCATGCTGAACGCTCCCACGGCAGGCTGCTCCTCACAGCCCTCAAAAGCCCCACCAGTTCAGATCAACAAGAAGCTGGGGATGATGAAACTGATGAAGATGAGGAAGAACTTGAGTCTTCTACCACGCCATCGTTCAACAGCAACAGTAACCACTTGTACTGGAACAGTAGTAGTATTGCAGAGTACAAACAACAGCAGCAGGAGAAGGAAGAGGGGTTGATTCCATTGTTGAGGAACTGCAAAGAAGCAAGGAGGAGGTCTCTACTAACGTGGGTGCCCCCTAATTACTGCATTGCCACCTCCTCCTAATCCTCCATCATAAACCAACCCATTCATTCCATTTCCGAATGCAATATTTAACAACTCTAATAAAACATGTCCCCATGTATGATACTAGTAGTCTGCACTCCCTCCTAAGATCATAGCTTTACTCTTTCGTTCAAAGAGTTTGTGTAGTGTTAGTGACCCTAAATAAACATGTTGAATAGGTAGAACACTATTTTTTCTACTTCCATATCATAAACAAAGATGATTTTGAATCATAAGTGTTAATTCAAGACTATACAAAGTTTTACATACAAAAGATCAATGATGATTCATTAACAACCACAACATATAAGAGATCAATGATCTTCACAAATACGTTTTCATTCTTTTATCTCACCATTTTTCTCAAGAGATAAAAACCTATACAAAAATGCACTACTTACCCATGTAAAATTGGAGAATCAAAATAAATAAATGTAGTAAAGAGAAAAAGATCACGTGTTTGTAGTTAACAAATTATAGACCAACCTATAAATAAATTGAAAGTACATACATAATTTATTCACTGCAAACACAAAATAGTTAATACATATATATTAAATGCAAACACATAATCTAAATATCGTTTTGGACCAAGGTACACAACCACCTTGGTCCATGGTATAACAATTGAATGGGAACAATGGTACAACATGCTTGCACAAAAATGCAAGTGGCATCAGAACTTGCCAACAAATAGTCTGTCGAATAAAAAACAAACGGTTATCCTTGATGTAATATCTTCTTTTTTTTTTTGGTTTGATAAAAGGATCCTTCACACAAATGTTACATTGTACAAGGCAGCAACACAGATTACACAAAGCAGCACCTCTCTCCTATGATACAAAGAAGCCCACCCTCACCAATCTTACACGACCATAAATTCTTTTATAGCAGAAACAAAAATAGTGCACCTAAACGATGTATAAAAAAAATTATATATTGAGACTAGCCAAAAAAAAAAAAAACTGGCACTACCCACCCATGGGAGACGACCAAGCCTGCCACTGGCTTGCGTTGCTTCGTTGTACAGCGGATAAACCTTCCAAAGCCTTAGTTGGTTTTATCTTTGATGACAGACGAATAGAGAATGGATCAGCATTCAGCAACCCTCGTATTCTTGTTGGAAGGAGTATCCATTCCATAACAACGCCCAAGTGCCTCGAATCCATTAGAATCTTGTACAGGGAACACATCTCTGCGGCATTCTCCAAATGGCATTATGCTATGTACAGATCACTGGAAATCCCTGGTGTTAGCATGAGCCTGGAAGAAGTATAGGAAAACAATCTGCAACTATATAATCTAAATCCAAGCAAGAGAACCTCGATCATTTGTGACTGGAGGGCGACCTCTAGTTGGTGTAGGCGGTCTGTTAGCATTAAGCTCCTATTCCAATAAATTTGAAAAAATAAAATAAAATTACAACAAAATTTATGATATTTACTTGAATAGAATATTATATATATATGTGTGTGTGTGTTTGGATTATAATTCCACCTGCATCCATGTATCTTCTATATGCCGCTCAGGTGAAGTTTCTGGTGATGAAATTGCTGGTGGCAAAGGATGTATAAGTTTTGGAACCACTACAAGATCTCTACCCAATACCAAGATTGCACCGGCATTGTTGGCAGTACCTGCAGTAAGCCGACTTTATTTAGAGAAGATTTTTCTACTGGGCAAATACCAAGTAAAAACAACTTAAATGAAGAAAGAGGACACACCACAATAATTGGTGGCTGAGAATAAAGTAATTAAATGCCCCTGAGCAAATCGTTCAAAGCCATCCATCACACATTCATGTGCTCGGACTATCAATTGAAGATCATTGTTGTTGCAGAATTCCATCACACGATCAGGCTGCAAACAATGAAGAACTTATATGAATCAGCTCTACCCAACCCCTCATCTCATCAAAAGAGATACCTTCCCTTTTCATTCCAAGCCTTGGCAACTCTCATGGAATACAAGTTACAGAAACAATTAATTTCCACTAGAGTAACCAATCGGGTGTGATGTTGGGAAAGAAGATAGAAGAAAAGTGCACTCACTCCAAAAGTAACTAATCCAGGCCCTCTGGCATTTGGGCGCAATCCCTCGACACTATCATTTTCTGTTGGGTCAGACCTGAAAGTATGGATTCCAATAACAATGTTGGGGAAAATAGTTAGAAGAATGGGAGTCAAAAAAATAAAAAGATGAATTAGAAGTTAGATATTAACCACAACAAATCCATGAGCACAATTGAGCCTGCTTCCATAGTAATTGGGCGCTGAATATTTTCAATTTGTTCGACGTGATTGATTGACCGCCCAATACCACCATGCATACAGATAATTTTCTTCTCAATCAATGCAGCAAGAGGAAGCCAGTTAAATAGTCTGTTAATCCTATGCCAAGCCCAGATTCCATCTCTCTCACCCTGCTCAATGGATCATAATCTCAGCAACTGTGTTAGACTAAATATGGGCCTAATATTTTGACTAAATATGATACATACCATGCGCTCAATACACTCAATTCGAAAGCCAAATAGTGCATTGATATCTGCAGCTTCATGATTCCCGCGTATTAGGTGTACATTGTGAGGATATTCGACCTATAAAATTATTTATTCTTATTTAAATCAACAGAAATGAGAAAGTTAAACCCTAGATATACACAAACAGATACAAGTATACCTTCAAAGCCAAGAGAAGAGTTATGGTCTCCAAACTGTGCTGGCCTCGATCCACATAGTCTCCTAGAAAGAGGTAATCAATGTACCTGAAAACATTTTATATAATATCAGCTTCATGCCTTCATAGGAAATTTATTCCATAGACCAGTTAAAAAACACAACTAAAAGTGTGAAAGGCAAAAGTAAAAGATAAAAACAACCGTCCTCAAAAAGCTTCCTTGTAATAATTACTGGGAAAAGAATTCTAACAAATTAACCATACACGGATATTTACTATCACTAATGTGAATATCAAGTACATATTTATATCAAAAGGCAATTAAAAAGAAAATCAATCCTTACAGTGATGTTAAAAATAAATAAATAAATAAATAAATAAATAAGAACGTTAAACGTTGACAAGCATTCATAAGCGCAATCAGTTAAGACTGGAAACTAACTATTGGTCCAAGGGCCAGCTCAAAGTCTCAGCTTATAAAGGAAAATTCATTAGAAGAAAATGTTTAATGAACTAGTGAAGGTACTTACGCTATATCCCCAGCAGTTGATGGGGACCCATACTCGTCAAAAAGCCGCATAAGATCCCCAAATTGCCCATGCAAGTCGCCAAAAATCTTAATAGGAGCTTTAAGCTGTAGAACACTAGGTTCACTAGAAAATATTCTTTCAGCGTTGTCACAGAGATCTGCTATCTCATTGCAATCCAAGAAAAATTGCCGTCGAACAGGAGGTTTCCAACCACGAGGTTTTAAGAGATGAGCAATGACCTGAGAAAGTGAACAGATGTGCCCAAACAGCATAACATTTTCAACTACATTAGAAAAGAGGAAAGGTATACAATGCACACGAGAAAATAAGTAATTAAATGAAACTCCAAATATTCAGAGAAATTCATATAAAAACAAAATTTGGAAATGAAACCAGACACCAAAAATTATACATGTTACATCTCTAAATGCAACATTCTTTCTTGCCGGCTGTGTCAGAAACACAACACAGTTCAAAGATGCCAGAGACAATATCGGATCATATCATATAACATATCAAGCATCTAAAGTACAAAAGTACAAGCAAGAAAGTTTTCCATCAACCCACCAACCTCTAATTCTATATTCCTCATCCAGCTATACAATAACAATCAAAATGGTTAGAAAACCCAAAAGCACAATTAATAGCTAAGTATAATACCTTTTTAGGCACACTGTTGATAGACATTTGTCGATCCAAAAGTTTTCTTGCTGCTGTTGCGTTTTCTGGAGTCCCATAACTAACCCGCCTGCCTTCATTTTCAAATTGATCAATGGAAAGCTGTCTAACCATACCACCAAGAGCCCCACCTGTCTCCGCAGCAATAACAACCTGTGAATAAATTTAGAAGTATACAAGTACTCGACGTTACATCTGTGCATTTAGTGATGATAACAGCAAATTCAACAACTAGAGTTGAAAAACTAGCCACTTACAGCACGGTGATGCAATCGAACTCCAGGGGGTGCAGAATTGTTTGCTACAGCAGAATCAGGTTTGATCAAGCTTGATGTTTGTTTTCCACTAGGTGTTGCCTCAGCACCTCGGTCCCTATCCGGCAATTCAACTTCTCCATTAACTTGCCGAGCTTTTGCAGCAGCCAGTGTAGCACTTATAGCCTCTGCTTCAGCTGCAGATGCCTCAACCAGATATTCAACACCTTTGCTCAATCTCCTGCATATAAACATTAAGTGTTAATTGGATTGAAGTCCAATATTCCACCCAAGCCCAACCCCTGTAAATGGGATTTGATTAAGCAATTTATATTAATGAGTGCAAAGAAACCCAATGATTAATATTTTGATTGAGTTCTAGCTAGAAATATGATGCTTATAGGCCCAGTGAGTCAGTGACTATTAAGAGGATAGTATACTCATTTCCCTCTTAAATCTATTTAGCATTTGTCTAAAAAAAGCATTTTCATTAAGCCGCCAGCATGGCTCCTCCAAATGGCCTACAATATCTTATTACTCAACTTTGGCTACTGTAGTAGCCTATATCAAGTGGAGAAAGAATCCACAAAGCAATAGGTATTGCAAATAACACTAGTGCATTTTTCTGGCTTTCTTTGAGAAGTCATATTTCTCAGTAATTAAAGCCTGAAGATCTATGCATTGCACATACTTGATTAGCCCAAGTAGAGAAGTCCCCCTGCATCATTTTTTCATTATGCATTTTAATGAATCCGTATTTCACATATACAACAAAGCACAAGAGGTAACAACACTACCCTATGCCTAGATTCTGGATGAAGGAAATTTTGATTACCCAATTTTTTTATGGGTTAAAACTCTCCACACACAACACATTAAAAAGTCTTTTAAAAGAATTATAAAATAAAAAGAAAAGAGAAGAAAAGTATTAACCTAATATTAGTTCTGGATTTTTATGCAAGAAAATGTATTGCATTTAATTGTTACAGATTTTAAGATGGGGTCTTTATAGCTTTCAAAGGAAAATCAATAATATACATAGAGCCATAGAGGAACAGCTCTGAAAATGGTATAATTTCTTACCTTTCATCATTAA